GCATTCACACTCTCAGTCGGCAGTTCATTGGCGTATAAGCAACGACCAAAATTTAATATAGTTAAAGACTGGAGTGAAATCAAAACTAAAGCAAAACAATTCGTTACTAAATACAGGCTATCCCATAAGCCTGAAAGCATAGATAACACTGGAGTTTTGATACAGCTTTTGTAATATATGCTGAATATATCCACACTTCACTTCAGGAAACGTTCTTTCCGGTATAAAAGTAAGACATGAAGTGTTTGCGGTGTGACCTCACTGCATAGAGTGAAAATTCACTCCTGAAAGTACAATGTTCTGTGGTTCCAGACTTAAGGAACATCTACTAGAATGTATTAAGGAAACATTTTTGGAATAACTTATAACAAATGAATATTTTTCATTTCCTTCTGTACAAAACATGCAGAGCAATCAAACAATATAACTGTAACTGTACAGTATGATGTCATATAAATCACACAGTAAGTGATTAGCAGTTCAATTACAAAGTACCAAACTCGTACTTCTTTATGTAATCATGTATCATCACTTCCTACTGATAAAACAATTACTATCAATTATAGGATTCAAGGTCCTCGCATTGGTAATTATGAAGATTTATATGCGCTTCAGTATAATGCCATATAGTCAGTTAAAATCAACCGCCATTTCGGAGGAAAATATGACCTCCATTTTCAGGATCAAAGGATAAACGCATTTAGCAAGCAAGAATACAGAACTCATTAAATTAAATTTACCCTTGAGCGTAAAGACTGTGGAGACGCGTACCTTAGGAAAGCACACAATGATACCAACAGGCAGTTGACTACGTGCAAGGAGAACACAGTGACAATGAGGCTATGTCATGTATTGCTGTTCTATTCCAGGAATGTGGGTCAATAAAGAGCAGAGACAGGAAGTGAAGCAGAGAGAGAATGGGAATTAATAAAAGAATAAACATTTTCGCTTTGTTTGCATGGTCTTAGCAATATCTGCGCAGTGCAGTGGGTGCAAACAATCGCTCCCTTGGCCGCCGTCGCATTAACATTTCATTCTGCTATGTAAAGAAGCCAAGTTTCTAGACCGAAAATGTTTTGTTACTGCCCCGAGCACAGAAACGATAGAAGGACTAAGAAGGTCAGAGACGCTCAGTATACCAGTAACTCTCTGATCTAATACTGGGAACATGTTCTATGTTTTGACTGACACTCCGCTGTTTCCCTCAATCTCTTCAGATAAATATCTGGACAATGCCTTCAAATGTACTACGGCCTACTCTTTCAGAATTCTTGATTATTAATATATCATGGTAGCTTCCCTTCTTGTTAAACGCTATATAATCTGTACAGTTGAGACAGCGTCATTAAATAACGCAGAAATCAATAACTGAAGACAGAGTAGGTTAATATAAGGGCAAGGATCCTGAATTCTGTCATGAAGTATGTGATCTGATTCTCATATTGTTGTCGGCTACCCTGACACTTTCAACTGTCGCTTTCTTGTTTTTTAAACGAATGGTAAGATAGTAACTGAAAAATTCTCATCTACTAACCTGTGGGACTGTCGGTACTTGAAGGGACGATCACGTAGTAAAATTATATAACAAATATTTATTGTTGCTAGAATAAATATATGAACGGGTTTCTTGCGATGTCTACAACATACTCTCAATTTTCGAGTCTGCTGTGCCTTCGTTAGTCGTTGATTAGTAATTGTTTGAACAGTGGAAATTTCTCCGCTTCTGTACTGCCTTCACAGTGTGTTTTTGCCTTCGGTTGGTCCACGTTCTGTAACTCAGGCTCTGACCTGAAAGGAATCGCCGGCTTCTACAGTCCCGTTTGTTTCGTATCAATCCGTTTCCACGGAAACCTGATTACTGGGCCGTTGCGTAACATCGGATATTTCCTAGACGGTGATTGACAGCTAGCGTGTCGGAGGTCCGTATCTTCACACGTTTTGGCAAACCACGCGCGAACCAATGGGCGTTGGAGATGCCGTGGTCCCCACTGATCAGCCAGCGCTTGTTTCTTTGTGGGTGGCTCCTACAAACTATTCACTATCATCTTCATTTCTTAATTTCTGCAGCTGAGAAAGAGTCCATGGCAGGTTTGAGGTGTAGCGCTCTAACACAAGTAATCGAATATTTACCTTAATATTACAAATGGAAATAAATCTATTCTGAGATCATTTGAGACTTTAAATTTGTCTTGATGGCTTAATTTATTATTTATCATAATATAAGATAAAGTACAGTTTTCCTAACCAAAAATCTCAGGATTGAAAGGGCAAATACGATGATTTGCATCCTGGGCAGTAATACTAAGATCAGTGAAGATATACATAGGTGCTTCTTGAGAAAATGAAATGACAGCCCTATAATTATGTAATATGGGTCATATGAATAGGTTATGAGCTGGTTGTAACTTACAAATTACAGTGGCGTGAGGTGTACTGTTGCCAGAAAAACACTGTTCCTCGTTAAAGATACACTCGCTTGCAGCGAAGTGTGTGCAACAGCAGTCCGGAGAAATATTACAACGGCGCTCCTTAGTTTACAATTTAACCATTAAAAATTGCACACACTGTCTGTCTCTTTAGTTGTCTCTGTGCTTTTATAAATGTCAATCTTAGTCTTGAAAAGGACAAAAGTCACACAAACTACGTGTGTATGATCTTCCTTATCGAATGCAGCGACCGAGTGGGTTCCACTCATGCTTCTTATTCTGGTGTTGCCTAGCTCAAATCTCGGCTCCGTGACCAGTTATTCTGGCAGCGGTTTCTCGTGAATTCCATAGTCCCTTCTATCAAGTGCCGCTAGGCCACGACCGCTTCCTTCCATCTCATTTTCAATTCATCATTCGCTAATCATCCTAACATTCTGATCTGCACAATCTGTGCCTTTGAAATTGGAGCTAAACCAAAAATGAAAAAGTTCTCGAAGAATACGGTCTTTGGGGTTGTAACGCCATGTTCTTGAGATAAAGTCCGTCTTTTGTGACGAATATATCTGTTCCATCTTCAGGGTGAAATAGTAAGTTACACAATAAAACAGCAAAGCAAGTAGCAAGCAGAACTACGCTTGCTGTCTGCTTTATGTTGGTTCATTGCTTGACTCTTTTATCTTATACGAAACTAGATAATAATTGGATCCATAAATAGTGCACCTGAGGAAGAGAAAAGAAATAGGAAATCGTTGTACACAATACAGCAAAAATTCGGTACTTTTATATGGTAAAGTAAAAAAGACATATTTATCGCTGGGCTTAATTAATTAAGCAGCGAGCCATGAAGATTTATGGCAGAGTTAAGTACAGCTTCACAATTCTTAACCACGGCACTAAATGGAGATTAATGATCAACTGCAAGTCTATGTCGCCTGGGGAACGACCCCAGGTGTCAGCTGAATAGATGGTATTCTCATAACTATTTAACAATGAATCATTACAGCATATGAAGGATAGGATAACCAATGACTGCTTTGAGAGAGCCAACGCTCTGGATACAAATATTTTCATAATTACCGCAATTTACAGTGAAATAAATTTGCCTGTAAGCATAACATAACGATAATGAAATCTCATGTGCCTTATACATATTGTGACGTACTGCCTGAAAGCCGAACTACAAGACATCCATCACTAGTCAACGGCTAACAATTCCTATGCAGCGAAGCCTAGGAAATTGTTGCCCCTGAAATGAAAGTCTAACAGAGACGAATTGTTTGAGGCAGACACTTATTCCCGTGTTCGTTGTGTAGCACTGTAATGACACTGCAATGTAGCATAATTATTTGTGTATGAATAAAATTTGCATTTATGATATAATTTTACTATATTCTTTCAGGACAGAGACTGGCTGTGTGTTGGATGACCGGAAGGCAGATCCTGTCAGAAACAAGGATTTCCTTTCCATGTCATTTAGATTTCTTTATACAGGTGGAGGAAAAAGAGCCCAGAGGGAGATTCAAACCATTCGTCTCCATTTAGTGCGGAGGTGAACAAGCGCTATCTCTACCCTCTTCCACACCTCCAAGTCATGATGCTTTATCCCTTCCGGAAAAGCTGATCTCTGTCTGAACGCCCGAAGTCTACTCATGCATGTTAGGGAAAGACTGAATAAATGTTTCACATCCAACAAGACAGACGCACGCATTGTCGGACCCCATATGTGAACCACTAAGCTCCTTCGAAACTGAAGTTCAGGTGAGGAGATCTTCGGCTTCGCTTCTGCGTGACAGACTCCCCTCAGCTAATTCTGAAAATACTCCGTAAATATTCTTACGCGCGACAAGTTCCTGGGAGGACACAATTCCGTCAGCCATAACTAACTAATTAACTTCGTGGAGCCGAGTATCATTTGAGAAGACAACAACTCTAGCACTCTATGACAATTTTATGGGACTCGAAATTTTATTACCGTGTTAACAGCCCGCCACTGGCCTCTGGCCTGAGCCAGATGAATTCAGTCCAGAATCTCCAGCCTGTTTTTCTAAGAACCGTATTAATATTGTAGGATTTGAGATTTTCGTGGCTGTGACTATGAATAATGCCGTTTTCTTGGATGTGGTGCCATGTAGATATTGTGTAAATCGACGTTTCGGATGAACGTATCGCCTCCATCTTCAGGGTACAAAAAATCCGCGAGCGAGGAACCAGAGTGAGCAGATAGCTCCAGATCGCTGGTTCCTCGTTCGCGGATTTTTTGTTGTACCCTGAAGATGGTGGCAATACTTTCCTCCGAAACGTCGGGTTACACAATATCTACACGGTGCCACATCCCAGAAGACGGCAATCTTCATATTAATATTACCCTCCTCTCTATGTTTATATATTTCTTCAGGTCCCGTTACTTCTGATTTTCCCACCTAAACCACGCACGCAGTCCTCTTCTCACCCATGCCTGCTACATCCCCTGCCCATATCGTCTAACTTTTATTTGACGAGTACAAGTCACGAGCTCCTCATTACGCAAATTCCACCAGTCACACGGAAGAGATCCATTATGGGCTGAGTACTTACCTGGTCCACGTCAATAAGATCTCCAGGATCCTCGAGGACACGTGAGTAATGCGACACACCTGGGGGAAACAAGAAAGATGCAGTCAGTGAGGGTGGTTCACCAGTCGATGTATCGACAAGAGAATGCATGAAGAGTACTGTCTTCTGTGACATAACCCCGTGAAATCCGTTGAAAGTCAACCGACGTTTCGGAGGAACATATCGCCTCCGTCTTTAGCTGTTTTCACACTGGAATCTTGCTCGGATTATTCGACACTGAAATACCGGTTGACTTTCCACGGACTGTATGATTTTATATCCCAGAAGACACTTCTTCGTAACCACCGCTGTGAGGACCTGAGATCCTGCAAAGAGAAAGAATGTTTGTTTCCGGTTTTGTACATTTATCCTGAAGGACTTCATACAGTTGTTTCCAGCTTTGTAAAGCGCAGATCCTGGATAATATATAATGTACACCCAAAGCAAAGACTTCATACAGACGAACATATGGCATATAAATAATAAACTTCTGATGATCTGCAATATATACGTAAGGTGAACGTAGGTTAAGGGGTTGTAACCCCATGCCCATACCCCATGTTTCAAGACCATAGATTTCCACCTGTCTGGCACTACTTATTCAAAACATTAACAACTATTCTGCGTAACTGGAGTTCATCGCCTGCACGCGTAATCCGAGGACGCACCGTGCCATTATGACAAATATCCCATCTTACCGCTCACTTCTTTGGGCCCTTTACATTGGGCGCCACGCTGTTGCCGTCCTCCTTGATCCTACGTTGTGCTCCACTTATCACCGTCCTCCCTCTTCTCGCGGATGTCGAGAAGTTAGGTGGGAAGGGAGGAGAATTGTGATTGTTGTAGCTGGTACGCGAGAGCAGGTACAGACGGGAGTATCTGGGTTCTGTTCGGTAATTTGTAGAGCTGAGTTCATATCCCAGGTCTTATACGGGTCTGGCTCGGGCAGGGCAGGAAGAATCTTTCACTACAATCACACACACCTCTTTAGACCGTTGCACTTAGTAATCATTTAATTCCCTCCAGCTTATTAGCTTACTGAATACAAATGAATCTATTAGTAGTACTTGTTTAGAACTTTATTTATAATACTTTTACGGAAGGGACATAGTTGTAATTTTGTGTCCGACTTTGCCGAAAGTTGGATGAAGACTCCTTGAGGTGGAATGCACTCTCTCTGAATACTGAGGTCCACGAACCCCAGACTCTAAGAGAAATCCACTCCTCCACTTTTGCCATTGGTTAAAGTTTCAAACTAGGAGGTTCCATAAATTTTGAATTTCCAATCATGTTGCTTTGCTATGTGATTCTGGCAGATGCTGAGCTGACGCTAAGGTTGACAGCCCCTTGATGCATTACGATCAGGGTATGAGGCTCCGGCCGTCCCACTTTTAAGTTATAGCTGTCCCAAGCAGTCAGCTCTTAAATTCTCGAGGACTTTCCGACTTTGCTGAAACTGCCAGAATTCCAGGAAAGTACCAGATATTACTTCCTGTCCACATAGCAAAACTTGAACTATGTCCCTTCTGCGTGTAAGAGCTGGCTATCTGCCGGATCTCTTTGTTTGTAATTTTGTAATCTTAACTTAATACAGATTTAATTAACACACAACAGCCTCCAATCAGAATGAACGGTTACACCCACTTAACATGGATACTGCTGTAGCCGAGAAAGAAAAGGAGAAATTTCTTCCTTAGAAGATAAATTCTGATGCATGTTGCTGTTATAGGTTGAAGGAAGATGATATTCACGAGGTTGGAGTAACTACTAATGGCATAACTTTCACACGAAAATTTTGTGACGACCCATCAACTGATTCAAAGTCTCAAAGATGTGGACCCAGAAGCAAAATGCTGATTTCCTAAGCCTATTTCTTGGGCATGTTCCCAGCTCTGTGAAGCGCCTATCAGAGTTGCCTCTTTCAGCCAGTCTGTGTGTATGCATGAAATTCTGGAATACCTATACAAATTTGCGTGAGTGGTTCTAATAAATCTTGTCGATATAATTCAATTTCTTGTTAAACTTGGATAAGAATAACGTGACACACAGACTTTCCTGTCTTTACTTCGAACGTAAATGGTCAAATATTTTTCTGTGAGACCACTTTCTCGGATGAAAGTAGTCGAAGTGCGCATTTCACGTGCAATAAAATCTTTACCTGTAAATCTTGTGAATTCCGACACATTTAAACCAAAGACAGTCAACTTTTCAGAATTATCATTGTATGCATTTATATCCGAACTTGTACATCCAGCACTCAGTAATGGCCATCCGATATGGCCGCACCATAGCTCAGGCGGTTAGTCGCTGGCTTCCCACTGCGGCGGCCCGGGTTCGATCCCTGGGCTGGTCAAGTGGGATTTCTGGTGAACAAAGTGGCGCTGGGGCGGCTTTTCTCCGAGTACTTCGGTTTCCCCTGCCAATCTTCATTCCACCAAATTCTCCATCATCATAATCACCCGGGGCAGGCTACAATAGGCCAATCAGTGGCCGCCGTGCCGAGTGGACCCAGTTGGACTCCACACGCCACTATGCGAATTTAATGGCCATCCGAAGGCACAAGAAGGTTACCAATGCCTCATATTCTCGACATTGTGATCAGGACGAGCAACTGAGGTTATGTCTGACAATTTCGAGACAATGAACTTCTGCAAGAGCAAATTTATGCACATAATTTCAGCAATTATCAATTCCCACTACAAAATATTAGTCAGACAAAACCTCGCAGCTTTGAACAGTTGTTAGTTTGTACCTTTCAATATGTATAAAGAGAACTGATTAATATGAAAACCGTAGTTTTGTTAACACTTCATACACATTTTCTTAGGCCAAATTACAGAGCTTTGTAGTTACCATAATCAAGCGAAATAAAATAACGTCACGGATCTATCAGACTATATTAATTTTGGGGATTTTATATGTAATACCCAGGAGTCGCACCGGTTTTGAAAATTAACGTTGCTTCTCCGGTGTTTTGCCTGAGAGTTTGAGAAGTACGGAAGTAGAATGGCCCCAAGTGATATATTTTTATAACGTTTAATAAAATCCTTCTATTGGCTGAAAATTGATTAGAGGAGAAACACACGGGGAAGGAAGAACTCACAAAAATTCACACGCACAGAGGAACATGATGATAACATAAAACTAAAGGTAAAGAAAAAGTTGTCCCTGTGCTTTACTAATTAACCACTACGCCATCAAAGCGTATGTAGAAGTGGATAAATCCACACTACTTGACCTTGGCACTAGTTGGAGTTGAGTGGTCAGCTTCATGCCCCGGCAGCTTTATCCCTGAGGAAAGAGCCTCCTGTACTCATTGGATAGGAGGTTGGCTGGACTCCAGAGCCGGTCTGGACGATGTGGAGAAGAGAAAATTCTTGACCCTACAGGGACTCGAACTCCGATCTCTCGGTTGTCCACCTCGTAACCAACCGCTATACCGACTGCGCTATCCCGGCTCCCTGATACCATAAAGGTGTCACTTTTAGAATAAAGAAAGTACGTTAAGCACTTGCAAGTATAGTCATTCAAACTAAAATATGTGCCCTAGATTTTGTATCTCTTGTGGGCTTACGTTTACTAAATGAAGACCGATAACAGGCGATGACAGAGGATTCAATTAACAAAAATAAAGATTTAAATTTAAATGGATTAGAGATAAGTTCTGAATTAGATTAGCTCTCAGTTTAGGCTACACTGGTACACACAACCGTTACGTATAAGAAATTAAAAAATATCCAAGTGAAATTCTTTTACCCGGAATACAGTATAAATATGAAGACGGGATATTTCACCCAGTGCGCAGGCGCCGCTGTTGCCGCAAGACAGTGTCTAGCTGGTGTTCAGGAAGCCCGAGTCCAGTCCCAATAGAATCAGGGCATTGCATGTAGCACGCTTGGAGGAAATGAGAAATACATAATAAACACCTTGGTTGCAAAATCAAGCAAGCTGTAACGTAGGGATATATGGTATGATTATGTTAAATTCGGCCTGGCAATGTCCACTGGATACAACTCCCTGAATGTGATAGTCTTATTGTGGAATTCTTTGAGCACGGAGTGAACCCTTTGTTTCAACAAAGGCCGAAAATATCGTTAAGCAACTACAACGTTTTCGAAGAAGTTTAACAAGGAGTTTAAAATGAATGTTCTAAAATGTTATTATTATAATGAATTGGAAACTAAAAGAAGACGTGTGTGCTGAGATCTATATGTACAGCCACTGCAGTGTTATATTATTCGAAGAAAAATTCTCTCAGAGGGAACAAATTTACCTCTCCATAAATGTGTCCAAGATATCTAACTAATAAATACTTATCGACTATGTAAGATTTGGGGGTTATACAGCTGTGACTAAAAAATGCTGTCTTCTGGGATGTGGCGCCGTGTAGATCTTGTGTGAACCGACGTTTCGGAGGAACTTATCGCCTCCAGCTTCAGGGCAGAAAATTTCGCGAGCGAGGAACCAACGTGAGCAGGTGATTGCAGAGAGTCAGAGATAATGGCTGGGGAACGGTTGTCGTTCGAGCAACGCGAGATAATTTTAAGTGGTACTGAAAGTTTGAATATTTGTGCGAAGTACAAAAACAGTGGCGGCGTGAACCTTCAATGGAACCTCCATCACAACGGTAGCGCAGTGGCTGAGGCACTACGCTACACGCCGGAAAGTCGCGGGTTCAAGTCCCGATGAGGTCTTTGGATTTTTTCAATTGACCTAATCCTTCCAGCCGCACTAGACCCTGGAGTTTACTCAGCCTCTAACAGAAATGAGTACCAGGAATTCATTAAATAATTTTCCTGGAGAGTAAAGAGCGATCGGGGCGTAAGGCTGACGAACTTCATCGCCATCTTTGAGCTGATTGTCTAGATAATGTGGGACCCTCAACGTCTCACAACCCTATGGGCCTTCACGGCCTAGTACAGGGATAGCTTTATTTTATTTTTATCACAATTAACAACAGGACACATTCGTGGAAACTTTGAGGCCGCTGGTACAGTGCATGATGTGCATAAGCAAGGATCTTGGAGGCCTTGCAAATCAA